TTTGGAGGAGACATCAAAAGAGAGAATCTGCCTTGGTGTTCTCCGTCTGCACGTTTCCGTCTTCAGGCTGTACTTCAGTGCTGCTGGATATGTAAAAGTGCAAGCTCACAAGGAAGAGTTCAAAGTTTTATCCTTGGCGTTCAGACATTGCAGAATCCTGGTCTCTGAATTCCAGTGTGTTTATTTAAATACTGGTCTATCTATCCAGAACTCCTCCTGTGCTGTCTCTTAATAATCCGTCCTCATCCTGCCACTGCCAGTGTTATCTTTGATCAACCCAAGAGCAGAACAACCCTACTAGTAGAGCACTAACGGGTAACTGAACCATCCAATCTGGAGCATGGACTCAGTCCAGAAAATGGCTCCACAGCCTCTGTCTCTTTCTGTCCCTAGTCTCTCAAATATGATGTGGGTAGAAACCAAACACAATATAAGACTTACCAGAATAGGAAGCATTGAGAAATTTTGCTTCCTGAAAGAAATATTAGCAGTGGCAAGACAACCCAAACAAACAAGTAAAGAAAAGGCTGTTTTGAAATCTCGGCACTCTGCTAGGCAGTTCTGACTCCTTAGTCAGGAAGGTAATCCTGGCCTTATGGCATCATAATCCTGGCCTTACAGCATTGGAGATAGGCTTGAGTTTCTGTACCTGAAATCCCATTTTATATTCCCCATGAGGACTGTCTAAGTTTGGGTGCTGGGGCTGTTTTACAACAAGTTGCAGGTTTCTCTGGGAGTAACCTTATTAGTGTCGAGTGAACTGTGCCATGGAGGGCCTTGTTTACTTGCTTCTGTAATTGTTTTTTAATGGCCCTGAAAAACATGCTCATAAAATTCTGCTTCAGAATTGTTAGAACTGCCTAAGGTTTTACTGAACACAAATCATCCAACTGTCTTTGAAAAGATCTCTACTAACATACGTTGATGTTCTAAACGCATTCACTGCATGGTCCAAACATGGCCTGTATTTGTAATGCAACTGTGGGAGACTCCCAAATCAGGCCTTTTTTATGGACAGAGATTCTTTGGTGCACACGGTATCCACAGGGGCTGCACCCGCAAAACGAGAGATTGGGTTCGGATGGTTTTGGCGGAGGCTGCAGGAAGGTTTTGCAGCTGGAGGTCTGGCTTCTCCAGGGAGCTGGACTCAGTGCTTTTTCACCCAGCAGTGTCCTCCTACCAGGTTGCAGAGGGCTCCTTGCACTGGAAAGTGCGGCTCAAACCTGCTCCAGCAGCCAGCACGGTGCGTGGGCTCGGCAAGTAGGGGTGAGTGCAGTGGGGCTTCCTGGCCTCCTCCGCAGCGTCGCTGCCCGTGCTACCGAGGAGGAGGTGGGAGCCAGCGGGACGTTTGCCTGGAGACGGATGGGGGTTTGAGCAGAGCTCGGGATTCCTGATGCGCAGAGGATCCACTTGAACGTGTCCGTCTCTCAGATGAACTGCTGCTGCGTGAGAACACGTGGTTATTTCACACCAAGATCCTAGTTGCCTCTTGATGCTGCGGAGAGCTGGTAGAGGGGATGCAGAAGCCTTTCCCCTGGCCTGCAGCCAGCCACCTCCACATCCTTGAGCTTCATCTGCTGCTACCTGGAATCCTGTGGCCTCGCTTGGCCTTTTTTTGTGCAACAGCCTAAAAATCTGGTCCCTCCTGTGTACTCGGACACCAAGATTTCTCCTCCTTGATCTTTCCCCAGAGGGCTAGGAGGTCCTTGATACAGGCCCAGCTTAGATGCAGGAGAAACAAGTCTGACAGAAGAGTTAGCTTAAGAACTAGAGTGGGTGTGACAACTCTTTGGGAGCAGGAGCGTGCAAAGAGGCACAGGATGCCTTTTAACCAGCACTGAGCAAGGAGAGAACACCTGGTCACTGCTATCCTTGGGCACTGAGGCCCATACAGGTACACAGAGCAGTTGCCTGGGGTAGGATGCAAAGCAGCGTGAGCAAGTAGAGGGAAGGCTACCAAAATTTCCCCAGGGACAGATACAGTCCTCCGAAATCATCTATTTCAATATGAAACTATTCCAGAGTGCAAATGGAATAAAGCCTCCAAAAGGACTGCGGTGTCACAGGGGTTCAGATTCACGTACCTCAGTAATAGCAATACTGATATTAGAGGGTCTGTACACAAAAATGCTCGGCAAAGCAGGAAACTCCCCACTTCCACTAAAGCACTGCCCTGATGGAGAAAGCTGAGAGTTTTTGGCATTCAGAGCTGACTGGCAGGAGCTGCAAGGAGAAAAACAAGAAGGAAAAGCAGTCTGGTTTTGCATTTAATTCCTTCTAAGTCTAGAGGAGCAGGATTTTATGCCATCTTTATAAATAAGCCATATAACATCTGCATAGTTGACTCCATCACCTTTTGCATCCCTCAGTGGGAAGAACCTGCAGGTCAACTATGGTCAACGTCTATATTTTAAAGCATTAACATGCCAGACATGTTAGTTAACAGTTCGAGACAATACTAAGAATCCTCTTGTCCTGATTCACTTTATTCATAGCTCAGTGCCACTGCGCTCTCTCCTTTTAGGCACAGGGCTGGCCAGACCTTTAATTTCAGAGTCTGCTTTGGGGCACCGGAGTTTTCCACCCAGAGACCTTGCAGGCACATTGGGCTGATGCTCCTTTCTCAGGTCTGAAGACTTTTCCACTGCCAGAGGCTTTCAATCTCTTCCTGTGTCTCTCCCTCTTTCCAAAATACACAGGTCCTCACAGGCTAATGATTGATAAAAAGAAACGAGTGTCACCATAGGCATGCAAAATCCTTAACTTTTTTGATCTATTAGAACTTTGGTTTCATTTCAGTTTAGGCTTTTATTTTATAGTACAATGCAAAAAAAAAAAAAAAAGTGAAAATATAAAAGCTTTTTTTTTCCAGCATCATTTCCACTATTTTTCTCTCAGAAACATCTTTTAGTAAACATGATTGTATAAACATGATTTTTTTAAGAAGAAATTGTAAAGTTTTTCTATAATTTGAGCCTTTAAATGTTTACAGCTATATTTACAATACCCTATTTTGTACAAAAATGGAACTGTGGTTGCACAATAGTTCCCAGTTTAAGTGTCCATACATGTTAAACCATGTAACTCTAGTCCCGCCTAGGCTGAAGGGGCAAGTTAGAAGTACCCAAACACATGAAAAAAAAAAAAAGGTGCAAGAGTCCTGAAATAAAAACGGTGGTGAAGGGAAAGGAAGCACAAGTGAAATGACAAGTGTGCAAAATCATCACTGCGGAGATGTCAACAAGACTATGTCTCACACAAAAAGAACTGGAAGGCACAAGGAAACAATCAGACAGCAGGTATAAAGTGAGAAAAGAAGGTTCTTCCATAGAAAGAATAATCAAACTAAATTCACTGTGAAAAGGCACTGTGGATCCATGGAGGATAAACAGGTTAAAAATGGATTAAACTGATTCAGAGAGGGTAGGTTTGATCAGTGGCAACTAAACACTGGTCTGAAGGCAACCTCTGGTCAAGGGTTCCCTAAAGCCAGCACTGTGGAAGCTGGAGGATGTGCCAGATTTTCCTCTCACACTCTTCCCAAAGCCCTTGGGACTTGCTTCTGTTAGAGGCAGCAGCTTTGAAAAATCCAGCCAAATCACCTAGATTTCTAATTCTGTAAACAGTATGGCTACACACTCCCACATGCACAAGTCTGCGTACACACACCTAACTACACATACGGGAATCGAGATAGACATTCAGGATGGCTTCAAAAGTCTGGAAATTAAGTGATAAGATTCTCACAACCAAGTTTTCTGAGGCATCTTCCTCAAAAAGATACCATGCTAGATACTTCTGCTTAAATATGCATTCTTATTAATAATCTCCTCAATCTAAACTATAAAGCATGTTGTGCAACATGACTGAACGAATATTGCTGTGAGAAATATTTTCCCCTTGTTCGAGTAATTTAAATTTGTAAGTTAATGTAAGTTTTTGTATTATATAATGTACTGTGTGCAATTTTCTTTCTTGTAAAGCACTTTGAAGCTTTCAAAGGGCACTCTAGGTTAATAAATAATATGGTCTCCCTTGCCAGAACTGTAGGGCATTTCCCATAAGTTCTGTATCTCCTTTGCCAGAGTTGCAACATGTTGCATGCCAAATCCTGCACA